GAAGAGCAAAGGCCAGTTTACTGTCATTACAAATTACAGAAACTGTTAACATCTGCAGCAAAATGGACTCTGGGAATTACAGGTACTACCCAGTAAGTCAGTTAAGGGTACAGAGATTTAGGAAAAACTATGTATACAGGTATAAGATCACCAACTGTGTATGTTATGTATCGTATACTATTGAAAATTGGAACATTTGTGTAGAGAAGGACATAAAGATTTTCTGAATCTTTTCCCAGAAAGAACCTTCAGTGAATCCTGGGAAGGAACACCAAATGTAGGGAATGCTCCTTTAGAATAATTGATTAATTTTTATCATTATATAGAAACGTAAACACTAAATCAACAGAAATAATAAATGTATGCACACTGTTTTATCTTCTTTTTTTTTTCTTTTTTTTCTTTTTTTTTCCCCAGGAGTAGTCTCAGGGACACTGCTGCATGTACAGTTAATATAAACATTTATACTGAACTCCTAGATGTTTGAAAAACAAATACTGTAAAGATCAGTAACATTTTAAAATGATCAGTTATGGGAATTAATGCTTACAGAAAAACACCATTCTTTCTTGCCCTGCTAGTAGAATCGCATTGTCTCCCTACAGTCTTGTTAGCTCATACTAACTGAAATGCAAATTCTTTCCAACTAATTGGACCTCGTTGAACGTACATGTACACTACATAGTTATATGCATGTAGATTTTTTTTACTAAATTCCTCTGTAATTATTTTCTTGATTAATATCTAAAGCAGAGACGTGGAACAAAAATCTCTTTAAAGAGTTTACATATTATTGAACATTAAAAAGATAGTAACTGTTGCATGTTTTAACAGCTTAATTAATAATACAGAATAATTGGAACAAAAAGAAGAAAATATTTTTTCAATGTTTAGTCATTTTGAACTATTTGCATTAACCCTTTGGATGAACTGATTAACACTTAAATGATTGGAATAATGGAATTTAGAAAAAATAAGATATGTTTACATTATGTAGCACATTCAGCTGGCTAGATTTTCTTACTGGCATCACCTGGGCTTTCTGTAATCACCTTTCTTATTCTTTCTTGCCATACGGCAGATTTCTGTATCGGTAGTTTTAAGAGGCGAGATGAAATCGACGTTATATTTTTAAAAGATTCACAAAGCCACACATGTAATGTAATTGCCTTTAATAGTAAGTATTAAGGGTTAGTTAAAGCAAAAAGAGAGAATAAAACTCTTAACCCCACAAACAGTCCACAAAGCACTTGAAATTCTAAAAAACACAAGTAGACAACTGGAATTGCACTCATTTTAAGTTCCATTAGAACCTGGATTCTGTAGCCACCTCTTCCATTCAGCAGCCGGGTATTCCCAGGAGCTGAAAATGTAAAATAATTTCACAGATCCTTTTATCTTTCAGCACAAATGCCATTGGATAGCAGTAAAATACTTGCAGAACATATTCCTGATTAAAAATCTATTGAAAATGAGATTTTTTTTTAATGCTGTTAAAAGGATTTGTTTTAAATGCTCTTAGAGCCCTTACCTTCTCTGTACTGTTTCTGATTCTCATATGACTTAGCCAAAGGGGAGAGAAAAAATACTGTTCTACTCAGTTTGTGCCAAACTTGTATACTAACAAGTAGTTCCTGTGCTTCCCACAGATGATTCGAAGAATATTTTTGCCTCCAAAGGAATTACAGCAATAAGCAGAGGGCAACAGATTACAAAGGGAAATACTGGGTTCTGTGCCCAGATTCTGATTATTACAATTTTTGCTAAACTTCAAGTCAGTTTTGTTTCTTTTTTTGTTGGAGGCTTTGTGTTTTGTTTTGTTTTGTTTTGTTTTTTTTCCCCTATATTGCTGTAGAGTTAGAGGAGGTTGATCTGCTACTGTAGGAGGTGTACTTCGGTTGTCTTTTTCCTGCAATGATTACTTTTATCTCCTTAGTGACTACTACTTTTCATATCCCTGTTTGAAATTCAGTAAGTATTTGCTTTCTTGGGTTTATGTGCTGGCATTGTTCTGCCAAACAAGATGCTATGTAGGCACTGTGAATTTAAGGATGACCTGAGCTGGACTGGAACTGGCAGACTAAATTTTGTTTCTTTCCAGTCATGTTAGTTAGTGGGGGGGGAAAGGGGGGATGGAAGGAAATACTTCTTTCTTTAAAATGTTCTGAAGATGTGATGTACAAGTCACACATTTGACAATTAAATGATAGTCCTCCTTTGATACAGGGATCTGAATGTGCTTAGATTTCATGTAAGGTTGTAGCATTCTGGCCAAGATTTCTGCTTGGGAAGACCAGATTTGGATGTATTAGCTAGTCAGCCTAATAACCCTGTACAGACTGTATTGATTTTCTAGGAGAGAGTTTATGAACTAAATAAACTTGGAGTTGGTGTCTTAATAAACTGCTTCTCTCAGTCTGTCACATTTAGTTACTGAGCTCTGCAGTTTAGGGGAAAAAAAGGCTAATTCTGTTACAGATTGTTCACAGCAGGGTCTCCAAATTAGCCCTTTGTTTTGTAATGCCACCTTGCTTGGGCTCGCTTTGAGCACATTTCTCAGTTTTACCCTAATGAGTTGCAACACTGATAATGTGGCTGATGATCTTTCATTGATTTCACTATCACTTGCTTGTCTGGTAATTGATCCGTTGCTGAGCCTCTAGTTAATTATATCGGCTTTGACATGGCCCGGTCCACCGGGAATTTCAAGTCTTGCAGAATAACAGTTTTAATA